CTATGTGATCCGCGAACGTAGAACTGTTACTAAAAATTCAGAATTTTATTATCCGCGAACGCCACTTTTTACACTGCGCATGCGAATAGTCCCTGAACCGATTCGGAATCGGACCCGCGAACAAAGCTATTGATTGGAACAAGTTTTCTGACTGTTTTCAACCAATGAAATTCGCTCGGGCTAATTTGTAGTTTCTGTGCGAACAAACCCATAAATTATAGAAAATATTCATTCTACGCAAGCGCTTGAATGTGATAATGTTTACATATCAAACACAAAGTTTGAATTTTAAATGAGAATAATAGAATTACCGGAATATGTGTATTACGCCAAAAATCATGAGATTTTTGTTGAAAATGATGGAATCATGAAAAATGTGTCCAAATCATGAGATCTCATGAAAAATCATGAGACCTGGCAACCTTGTTCCGGCTTTGATAAGGCCTGCTACGACATGCTCTTGTGAATTTTGGATTTGTGAAAGGACAGCTCCAATACTGGTGTTGCTTGCATCTATGTCCAAAATCAACATGCCTTTCTGATCAGGATAGGAGTGATAGGACAACACTGGGCTTGTATGTACATAATGCTCCTTTTAATTTTCTAAATGCGGAATCGCATTCTTGGGTCCAATTGAATGCTGATTTTTCTTCCGTTAATCGATGAAGCGGAGCAGCTATATTATCGAATCCTACAAATTTTCAATAATAAGAACATAATCCTAGAAAACTCCTTAGTTCATGTTTGTCGCGTGGTTTGGGCTAATCCCTGACAGTATCTATCTTTCCTTCCATAACTTGTATGCCATCTTCAGATACCACGTGACCTAAGAATTCCACTTTCTTTTGGAATAGAAAACACTTATTTGGATTGAGTTTTAAGGTGGCATTCCGGAAGCGGTCAAAGACTTCTTTCAGATTATTGAGATGTTCTTGGAACGAATTTCCCATGATCATGACATCATCTAAATGTACCAGGCAAGTTCTCCAAGTTCTCGAACATTGTCTTTAACTTCGGCTTTTACTTCCGTGATTTTTTGTTCTAGGTTAGTGATAAATCGTGTATGGTTTGAAATATTTTCTGTCGTTGTCCAAGATCTTCTTGCCGTGCTTTTTGTCGCCTGGCCTCTTCGTCTTGTTTTTCTTGTTGTCATTCAGCTTCTTCTGGTTTTTCTTTTTGTCGTTTAGCCTCTTCATCTTGTTGTCGTCTAGCACCTTCTTGTTTTTCTATTTGTCGTTTAGCTTCTTCTTCTTGCTTTTCTTTTTGTCGTCTGGCCTCTTCGTCTTGTTTTTCTTGTTGTCGTTTAGCTTCTTCGTCTTGTTCTTCTTGTTGTTGTTTGGTCTCTTGAAGCTTGAAGTTCCAACATTTTGCGGAGAAGTTCTTCAACTTTTTGTTTTTCCATTTTTGCTTGTTGTCTCGTAATAGGTATATACAGAATGTTCTGGAATTTCCCTCAAACTCTCTTCAATTATCTTTCCTGGTCTTTAATTGAAGTTCCAACCACGTCGGTGAAGTCACAAATTGTATAACTTGCTTTATTCTCGAATAGAATTTTCTAGAATTTTCTTGGAATGTCTTTTATGGATGTCGATTGATACGATATAGCAAACATGTCGGTGAAGTCACAAATTCGATATCTCCTTTGGTTTCCAAATAGAATGTTCTAGAATTTTCCCGAAATTCCTCGAAATTTTTTTTCTTAATGACGATTGTATCAAATACGTCGGTGAAGTCATAAATTCAATATCTCCCTTGGTTTCCAAATATAATTTTCAAGAAGTTACTTGAAAATTCACTATCACAGTCAAAATCGGGTATATAGTCACTTCCAAAGTAATTTACACAATCGATTAAGTCTCTTTTTGTGATTATCACTGAATAACTGTCCCAGTGTTCACTTAACTTATTACTTAGTGTCCACAGTGTCCACATTATTCTGCAATCGGATTTCACTTCGCAGTCCTCGAATTATATTCCACTTCTGACACCAATGTCACGGCTCTGGTGTGCGTGACAGAAATCTTGGGTCCGTTTATTCCAGAAAATCAACGTCCAATTACCACAACAATAATTTATTCCACTTTACTATACACTTTGACACTAATTACATACTTCACTAATTAACTCTCAAACAACATAACTTTGCAACTCTTACAAAATTCACTATCTAAATCGAATCACAGTCAATCTTAAACTTGAAAACTACTAACTAATACCGGCCTTTATAGTACATATATCCGTAATCTATTCTTGTAAAATTCAGAATCAACGCGATAGACCTTTTTCCCGAAGAGCAACGTAAAATCTAGAATCTCAGTTGTCCAATTCTGTACACCGAGGCAGGGGCGTTCCGAAGGCTTTGGTAATGGGTGGGGGGGGGGGGGGGGGGGGCGTTACGTCGTAATGAGCCAACTGACTTTTAAAAACCACAAAAAAAGTTTTTCTCTATGAAACTTTATGAAAAGACTTTATTACATTTTCAAGATTATTTTAATATCACAACTTATGTTTCGAAACGCAGTGTCTTCTTACCTGATCTGTGAAAACTCTCTTAATTAACGGCTAGGCAATGGCAGAATAGGGCGCTTTCTTTTATTCAGCAATGGATCCATCAATGGAGAGTCTTTCTTTGTCTAGTTTATAGAAAATCGTAATGACTCTCTCATAATGCTGTCAGTAGATGGATCCATCGCTGAATAAAAAATTCGCCCATATTGATATTGCAGGATGAGGATAATAGGTATTTTTGTTCCTACTGATTCAAATTCAAGTTTAAAAAAGCTTTATTCTCGAAATTTCCCAATAAAAATTATTGACAAAGCAACTTACATTTCAAGTGCAAAACAGGCAGATGATAGTTTAGGTTTGAGTTGGATAATATGTTCTTTAAAATCCAACTATTTATCAAGCACTAGTCCAAGAAACTTTACACTCTGATGGGACTCAATAAGCTGGTCACTCAGGGGTATAGAATTTATGGAGAATCTAAAGGAGATAATATTAGTTTTTTTTTTAATGTTAAAACACAACTGGTTCGCATCACACCATTCCTTAACCCTTTTTAGATCACTCTCAATCACATCCTCAAGCTCGCCCTTTTTACCTGTCACAATATAGTGCTATCATCAGCAAAGGCATAAAACTTTCCATTGATGCTGATAAAGGCGATATCATATCTATATACAGGGTGTATATTTTAAGTGATACCACTATTGCTATATCCGAAACGGTAAGAGCTACAACGTCGGTTAAATTAGAAAAAAGTTGCCTTTTTTGATGCCCATTTAAGACTTGTTTACAGTGTTGCCAAATTCTTTTTAGTTTATGAAATACAGGGTGATTTCTAAGAAACGCCCAAAACTATTTCACCAATTATTTTGAAAACTATCGATTTTCGAGACACAATTTAAATTTGAAAGTTTTTTAATTTTTTTCGCTCTACAACATGGTGTCATCAGATTTCAAATCCGATGTTTCGTAATCGAGCTACCATCATCAACTTAATTTTTTTAAATACGGACCTGTATATTTTATGTCATTTTTAGAAAGTGCCTTTTATTCCCTTTGTAAAAATGACATAAAAAGACCAGGTCCATATTAAAAAAAATGAAGTTGATGATAGAAGCTCGATTACGAAACGTCGGATTTAAAATTTGAAGATGCCATGTTGTAGAGCGAAAAAAATTATAAAACTTTCAAATTTAAATTGTGTCTGGAATATCAATAGTTTTCGAAATAGTTGATGAAATAGTTTTTGGCGTTTTTAAGAAATCACCCTGTATTTCATAAACTAAAAGGAATTTGACAACACTGTAAACAAGTTTTGAATGGGCATCAAAAAAGGCAACTTTTCTCTGATTTAACCGACCTTGTAGCTCTTACCGTTTCCGATATAGTAATAGTGGTATCACTTAAAATATACACCCTGTATATAAAAATCAAAGTTCACGGGGTATCCGGATATGCGCTCTAAAACCACTTATCCGATTACGATGAAACTTTGGTAGGTTATTATGGCCATCCCAAGGAAGGTTTGTGGATAGGTTACGCATCTCGGAAAAAAAAATTAATTTTGAATTAATTATTAATTTAATTGTAAACAAACTCATTCACATTACATAACAACATAACCCAACTTTTTTTGACAGCATGAAATAACGTTGACATATTTCATTTATTTATGCTTGCATTCAACCGACGTAACTTTATTATTTTTTCAATTCAAGAACGGCTGGACCGATCTTGAATTAATACCACGTATATACATATATAAGGTGAATTCGATTGACCCAGATTAGATCGATTTGGGTTCAATTTAAGTGAACTTCTTCTGATCTAGATCATTTTTTTGTTGATGAGGGTGCACTGATCCAGCTTGAATCGAACACAGTGTGGTTCATTTAAATTGAACCAGATCGATCTAATCCGGTCAATCGAATCGGCTATAGAGGAGAGTGATATAAGCTATTTTTTATCCCGAAAAAAAAAGTTCGGTTGCGTAAAACTCTGATACACTGGAACGCCTATAAACAGCCCGGGGCGCTCTAGAGCAGCTCTGGAGTGCTTAAAATGGGCCACTGAACTCACTGGCAAGCGACTCTGATATCGGATAAAAAAAAAAAATTAAATAGAAAATCAACAACAAAATTTGAAAAGAAGTGTATTATTTCAAAATGTATTTACACGCTGGCAACGCAGCGGGTCATTAGCTAGTATCATATATATCATAATATAGGCAAGGGAGAAAATAGGGCCGAGAACAGATTCCTGTGGCACTCCCTGGGTGATTTCTTTACTGTTTGATTGAAGATTGGTTGCAGCTGACTATCTGGGATCTGCCTAAGTTATAAGATAACGCCCATCTTGATTGTTTTTTATTTCAATATAGGTGATCTCTCTAAATAGAAAATTTAAACCGGTTAGACTAGTTAATTCTAATTAGGACTATTAGGAGGCTTTTAATTCAGGCACCAAATTAACTTATCTACTCTAAATTTTAGTGTCTGCAGAAGAAAGCATCTTGGGCAACATAAAGATATTGACAAGAGAAAAAGTCCTGGAGATAATCGAATCAGCTTATCCCAATCCTGTCACAATTCAAGATATTGCCAAGTAAGTACTCAATATTTTGAAACTGATTAACACTAAAAAATCCCTTGCCCCTTTTTTCAGAGAAAATAGTTGGGATGAAGAAGAAGTCGCCCACCATTTCTCCGATCTCCAATCCAGACAGTTGGTCAAAGCTATGGACCACGGTGCTTTTACACGTCAACAAAGCCAAGACACTCAAGTTACCATAGTCAAGCAAATGCCCACTATAACTAGTTCGAAGCAGCCCACCATTGCTATAATAACGGCACAGTATTGCGAAAAATTGGCTGTAGACGCTATGATTGAGAATAAAGAGACTTTTGTTAGATACACAACTGTTGGTACGTATAGATTTTTTAAAAAATAACTGTTTGAAAATTATATATTATTTGAGAGTTTATATTTGACTAAAAACTAGGTCCATCGAGTCCCACAGGTGATTATAGCAAATCAAGATTTGGTAAGCAAATAAAGGGCTTTGGATTGTATGGCACTGAAGCACATTGTACACTCTTGTTCAAAATTGCTTAATATTTGGACACTGAACACACACTATTTGTCACCATTTTCATGCTATATTTGTATATACATATCACATTTTTGCTGTCAATATCACGGAAGAGTTTGATGCTTAAAAGAAATAGAACCACAAATAAGTTATCCTTCAATAAATGTCAGCTTTCACTTTTTGGAAAATCTTTACATATTTAAGAAATACTGGGTTAGTTTGGATTAAAAATATTCAAGGTTGGGATAAATCTCGTGGGTCTAATTATATGGAAATAGTTATTTATGTACCAAGGCTTGTAAGTACACGCTACAAGTCGAGGTGCATATGATATTTTTTGTGCTACCGTACATTCAAGATAATAAATATCATTCCAATATTTTAAGTTCTTCAATACAGGAAAGTATCCCTGTGTTAAATGTGACTAGTTGTAAAAATGTTTCTTTTACTTTCAAAATTACAAAGTAAATAACTATGAAGTATCTCATTTTTATATTATTACCTATCTGTTTATGCTAATTTCAACTTTTTGACGTCTAGGTATTTTCTATTTGTTTCAATAAAATAGTATCCTTAATTTGTTTTGGGTTTTTTATTTAAGAAGTCGAGTGTTTTTGTGACATTATTTTGACAGATATATGAACCAAGCAATTTTCACCTTTCATATCAACACTTTTTTGGCCTGGTCAAAAAAGTAACTTTTTTGGCCCGGTCAAAAAAGTAACTTTTTTGACCCGGACTGTAAGTGACACTTACAGTTCATGGACGTAGGTCAAAAAAGTCAACTTACAGAATTGGTAGCACAAAAAGGAAGTTTATTGCCATTCTTTCATTGAAATGGCCTGCTCAAGTTCTCCGATTGTAATTCATACAGTGAGTCAAAATCCCGTAACTAATAAATAAATAGGTGGTGAAACGCTTTAGTGCAACACGTGATTTCTTATGAGCTGCATTTCTAATGTTGAAGTTAGCCTTTTTGGACCGATTTCAATATAAATATATTATGCGGATTATATTAATTTTCAAGAAAAATCTATAAATTAAATTGGTTCTATTTTAAGATGCGAAGTGTCGGGTGTCGGGTTTTTGATAGGGCATCCTATCAATATGGTGGCTTAGGTCAAACAGTGAAATTAGCTCCATAAGGATTTTATTTACCTTTTGGTGGATTCCTGTTTCATTACAGTTCGTTTAAACTGGTATAAGTGTACTGGTTGACAACAAAGTGGGTGAAGCGCGCTTTGTTTTTTAAATTAAATATTAACATACAAGGACTAGCACGTATTACGTGGACGGCTTAGTTTGGGTTAGTTTGCATATTTTTGGCTAGTTTCGTTACAGTTCGTTTTACTGGTTAAGTGTACTGGTTGACAACTGGTTGACAGCGCACGAAGCATGCTTGTTTTTCCAAATTCAATAATAACATACAAGGACTAGTACGCATTACGTGGACGGGTTAGTTTGGGATAGTTTGCATACTTTTGGTTAATTTGGGTTACAGTTCATTTAATATCTACTGATTATGAGTGTACTGGGTTAAAAGCAAAGCGCGCGAAGTGCGCTTTGTTTTTTAAATTCAATATTAACATACAAGGACTAGCACACATTACGTGGACGGGTTAGTTTGGGATAGTTTGCATATTTCTGGTTAGTTTCGTTACAATTCGTTTAATACTGGTTATAAGTGTACTGGTTACGCTGATAGAGACCAATAGTGGGGAATTTTCGTAGTTGATTTTTGAAAGGTGGGCCAAATCGTCAATTTTGCATATAATTTTCCGATGAAAATCTATATTTTCCGAATTTATTTATAGCTTACATGTTTCTATTTGAAGGAATCTTTCTCAAAAAAAAAAATGCCGTTTTTATTGAGACTTATAAGTTAGCAAATCCAGAAGATTTTTTACGTTTTTGGTAGATCAACGTTTCCAATAAGGATTTTCTCTTTGAGATTTAGCGAGCGGAGCGAGCCATTCTAGACTTAAAAATAATTTAAATTAAAACAAAAAAAAATCTTGTCTTATGCCGCCATATTGTTTTCTTCTGCCAGGTAGGTTGGATTGTCATTGGTGCCCAGCCTTTTACTACGCGGCGGTTCAATAACAAGTCTCTATTCTTATTATTCCGCCGCGGTGTAATGGTAGAATAGGAATAGGTTTTTTTTTTATAAAATTGTGAATATTCGCTTACTAAGGCAAAATCCGCACTTAAATTGATACAAAACCAACTGTATAAAGGATGTATCAACTAATTTTTATAGAAAATTTATTTATTTTGGTTGTACTAAAGCGTTTTACACCCAATAAATAAATAAATACATAAATCAATGCTCTCATTAAAAAAAATATTCACTTAGGTGTTGTACTAGAATGTTATTATATCTAACTGCAATAAAAGTTTTAACAATTGTTTGTCAAGCACAAAATTGTTGAAAAAAATAACATTTCAAATTTTTTCAGGTGAATCTAATGTATACACTCTTGGAAATATAGGAGCTCACAGAATTGTATGTACAAAATTACCCACTGTAGGCCACACAAGAGAAGCTATGACAGCTGCTGGAAACACAACAACTAGATTATTAGGTGAAAATGTTAAAGCCTAATTCATTGGACCTATAAAACTTATAAATCAACTTTTTAGGTACATTCCAGAAGGTAGACTATGTCTTTCTAGTTGGAGTAGGAGGCGGCGTACCTCACTACACCGATTACAACAAACACGTTCGGCTTGGAGATGTCGTAGTATCATGTCCAACAAGAAATAAGTACGTTTATGATTTAAAATTATGTCTTAAACTGAAATTTGTTACTTTCAGAAGTATTTATTTGTATTGCGAAAACGCAGAAGTATCAGATAAAGGTTATCAATTCGAAATAAAAAACTACAGTCCAAACAACTTTTGTCTACAAGAAATCTCGACGCAATTAAAAGTTTCTGCCGACCAAGATTCGTCCCCAACACCCCCATGGTTGACCTACCTAAACAAGGGGCTCAATATACTGTCATCGCAAAAAGAGCCTGATTTTAACCCACCTAATGCCGAAACTGATAAGTTATATATGAGCATCGGAGAGAGGGACCTCATTGAAGTGGCGCATCCTGTACCGCAAGATGGCAGCGTCAAAAGGTATCGTTTCAGTATTAAGATTTACAGGAATCAGATGTGTATATTTTTTCTCTTTTTTTTTTTTTGCTCAAACAAAAAGGAGGAGCTTGGCAAGAAAATCACAAAAAGTAACCTTTACTCCAAAGGTTTTACCTAGAAAAACCTTAAAAAAGCCAATTAAGAAAATTAGGTGTGAACAAAAAATATTAAATCACTTTATATCACACAGTAGAGGATTTTTTCCTATTCTCATTCAGTATTATGTTGAAAACACTTAAAACATTGCACTGAACTTTTGTTGCCAAGATAAAAAACAGGGTGTTTGAACATAAATGATTACACTGTACTCTCAAAATGAGTATTGAGACTTAGCTGGCCGATTATTCCATTAGGAACTTATACTATGACTGTTCTATATTTCATCAAATCAAATTCATAAAAGCTTCATTGTCTGTAAAACCCAAACAAATATTAAAAATTGATCTGTAAAAAAAAGTCAATGTCGTGGAAAATATAATATTGTCACAACCCCTCTGTGACGAGGGGTGTAGGGTGGATAGATGGAGAGAAACTCGCTCAGGTTATTATAAAAATATGAAGCTATGAATGCTATGAAGTTATTACATAAATCCTCCAGGATGCATGCTCTTCCGTGGATAGTGTCATACGTTTGACGCTACTTAAGAATGTCGGTTTAATGCTTAATTGGTTGAGGTTTTATTTGGGATTGGATCGAAATAAAACAACAGAAGTCTGTTATTTCAGATTGTCGACGTTTCGCAATATATTATTGCATCTTCAGGACACTACAAAATGGTAAGACAATGTTATTGTGCAGAGTCCTAACAACTCCAGTTATGTTTATAGTATTGGGTACTTACATTTGAGATTGACTTTCTATGTCATAACATGAACAATATACGAAGTTGTTGGGTAGGTACAGATTCATAAGAGACGTTACATTCACATACATGGTACAGTTTAAAACTTATCAAAAAATATAACAAAAACGTTATAAAAATAATCACACATTAAAACTTCAAAAGTAAATGATTTTAAAATAAAATATATAAGACAGACACAGCCAGCTGTTACTATTACAATAATAAATTAAATAGTGTTATCGTTCGTGGGAGCAAACAAAGAAAAACCAAGTAGGGAATGGCATCCGAATCAAAAAACACTAATATGAAAGCTTTTTTGTGATGATTATTTTGTTGTTGATAAAATGTTAAAATAGGCGTTACTTAAATTTTGTATATCTGTTCTTTTATTGACGCAATTTTTATCTTTTTGTATTTCGATCATCTCAGCAATTAGTCTTTTTCTGTAGTTAAATTGTGTTTGTAATATTGTGGTGTTGTCAAAGTCGAAGTTATGTCCTGTCTCTAGTTTATGTTCTACTAATGCTGTTGGGTTAGTCTTCAAGAGAAAGTTTTTTTGGTCATTTTGGTGTTCCTTCAGTCTTTGTTTCAAATATCTACCAGTCTGTCCGATATAGTTTTTATTACATTGAGAGCAAGGAATATTGTACACCAAATTTGATTTTAATTCCTTTTTAGTCTTTGATTTGGTTTTCGAGAAAAAATGCCTTTTTATGGTATTTTGGCACTTAAAGGTGATTTCGACTTTTTCTTCTTTCTTAGATTTATGGCCCTTGAATGTTCTTTTTATTCGTTCGGAAAGCTTTCCAATATAGGGGATTTTGCAAAAAAGTTTCTGATCACTTTGTTTTGTTATTTTTTTTGAATTTGTTTTTTTAAGAATTTTTCTTATTAGAGATAATGAATAATTATTATTCAATAACATCCTTTCTATGTACTTCAGGTTCTTACTATGAAATTTTCCAGAAGACAGTGCGAGAGCTCTAGTTTTCAAATTATTAATAATATTAATTTTTTGTTGAAGAGGGTGTTCAGACCAATAATTTAAAAATCTTTCGGAAAAACTAGGTTTGTGAAACCAATCAGTCTCTATGTTCTCTCCATATCTTAATATTAGTACATCTAGGAAAGCTATACTTTGTTCGTTTTCTTTCTCGATGGTAAATTGAATTCTGGGATGATAACTATTAAAAATACTAAGTATGGTTGCTTCTTGATGTTCAGGGATCGATGTTAGGATATCATCAACATAACGTTTATAGAACGGAAGTTGAAATGGGAGTTTTTTTTATGCAACATTCCTGTAAATCTTGCATCACCAAATCAGAACAAATTGGCGATAAACAGTTTCCCATCCCCAGGCCATAAATTTGTTTGAAAAATTCATCCTGATACTGGAAATAACTGTTGTCAAAAACGAAAATCAACAGATCTATGAACGTTCGTAGAGGAATTTTGACTTTGTTTTCTATGAGATGCCATTTTTTACTAACAATGTTAATTACTACATCTGTAGGGATGTTTGTAAATAATGAAATTACATCCAGAGATATAACCTGGTAGTTTATTGGTAACTTGATACTCTTAATGTTTTCTACAAAATCAAAGGAATTCCTGACATAAGTTTCGTCCTTAACAAATAAATCATTCAAAATATTCGCCAGAAAGGCAGTGAGATTATATAGTGGTGATCCCACGAACGATACTATTGGTCTTAAAGGGTTATTATTCTTGTGTATCTTGGGTTGAAAATAAATTTTAGGGGCAGTGGCAGCATTTGTTTTCAATTTCTTACCCCGTTCGTTTTCAATAAACCCCTCTTTAATGAGAGAGTCAATCATTTTATTATTTTTATTTTGAATTGTGATGGTCGGGTCTTTTTTAAGCATTTTATATGTCACTTGATCACTAAGCATATTTTTAGATTTCTCTAAATACTCAGATTTATTCATAATGACAGTGGTGTTGCCTTTATCTGCTTTAAGAACCACTATTTCATCTTCATTGGCCCTCAAAAAAATTGAAGTTCGTTTTGACATCTGATTAAACTGTTTCTCCTCATACTCCTGGGGTTTATTTGAACGAACAAAGTTAGTAACTATATTGATACATTGATTTCTGATTTGTATCTTGATGTCATCATCAAACTTTTCTAAAATGCATTCAACATCAACAATAAGATCTTTAATAGGGTATTCCTTATTTTTATATGGTAAATTGAACTTATCACCTAAACTAAGTATATACTGCACTTCCCTCGGTATCTCAATATTACTAAGATTCACAATCCACTTATTATTAATACCTGAATCGTGCCTAGTTGGTCTTTGTTCTTCTATGATTTTATTGAACTTTTTTAACTGTCTAGCCTTCAAATGCTTTATGCGGTTGTAATAAAATTGTTTTTGATTACTATCGAAACTATCAAAATTACCCTGGTTTAAAATATTTTTTACCTTACTACTGGCATCATTTTTCCTTAAATTAAGTTGTTTAATTTTCCAATGTACAAAAGATATTTCTAAATTTAACATTTGTTTCTGAAACTTTTTAAGGATTGTATTGCATTGGTTTATAAATGGAGACTCTTCTACAATTAAGTGTTGCATACATTTAGCTGTCTGTAAGATATAACGAGGGAGAACTTGACTTTTTCTACATCTAATCAGAAACGTTTTGTGGCTATCATAGTTGGCTAATTTTCTGTTACTATTGGCCCATGTTTTTAAATATATCGTAACATCCTCACCATGTAATCTTTCCATCTCCTGCATGAAACCCATCCTAGTTACCTATTCCGATCGTCAGTGGAGTTTCCCCAAAAATTTAATACTTGGTTAGTTTGTTGTCGATCCCTTAATTGTAATTGGTTGAGGTTTTATTTGGGATTGGATCGAAATAAAACAACAGAAGTCTGTTATTTCAGATTGTCGACGTTTCGCAATATATTATTGCATCTTCATGTTAAATTTAGAAATATCTTTTGTACATTGGAAAATTAAACAACTTAATTTAAGGAAAAATGATGCCAGTAGTAAGGTAAAAAATATTTTAAACCAGGGTAATTTTGATAGTTTCGATAGTAATCAAAAACAATTTTATTACAACCGCATAAAGCATTTGAAGGCTAGACAGTTAAAAAAGTTCAATAAAATCATAGAAGAACAAAGACCAACTAGGCACGATTCAGGTATTAATAATAAGTGGATTGTGAATCTTAGTAATATTGAGATACCGAGGGAAGTGCAGTATATACTTAGTTTAGGTGATAAGTTCAATTTACCATATAAAAATAAGGAATACCCTATTAAAGATCTTATTGTTGATGTTGAATGCATTTTAGAAAAGTTTGATGATGACATCAAGATACAAATCAGAAATCAATGTATCAATATAGTTACTAACTTTGTTCGTTCAAATAAACCCCAGGAGTATGAGGAGAAACAGTTTAATCAGATGTCAAAACGAACTTCAATTTTTTTGAGGGCCAATGAAGATGAAATAGTGGTTCTTAAAGCAGATAAAGGCACCACCACTGTCATTATGAATAAATCTGAGTATTTAGAGAAATCTAAAAATATGCTTAGTGATCAAGTGACATATAAAATGCTTAAAAAAGACCCGACCATCACAATTCAAAATAAAAATAATAAAATGATTGACTCTCTCATTAAAGAGGGGTTTATTGAAAACGAACGGGGTAAGAAATTGAAAACAAATGCTGCCACTGCCCCTAAAATTTATTTTCAACCCAAGATACACAAGAATAATAACCCTTTAAGACCAATAGTATCGTTCGTGGGATCACCACTATATAATCTCACTGCCTTTCTGGCGAATATTTTGAATGATTTATTTGTTAAGGACGAAACTTATGTCAGGAATTCCTTTGATTTTGTAGAAAACATTAAGAGTATCAAGTTACCAATAAACTACCAGGTTATATCTCTGGATGTAATTTCATTATTTACAAACATCCCTACAGATGTAGTAATTAACATTGTTAGTAAAAAATGGCATCTCATAGAAAACAAAGTCAAAATTCCTCTACGAACGTTCATAGATCTGTTGATTTTCGTTTTTGACAACAGTTATTTCCAGTATCAGGATGAATTTTTCAAACAAATTTATGGCCTG